TTTTTTTTTTTTTTTTTAGACTGTGAATTTGTTTCTAATGTAAATGCAAAAATTTCAGTTTGTAAATTTCGTGTTTTTCAATGTTTGGATGAATTTGTTAACAAAAAATTTAAACTAGCTTGCATTTAATTATATCTTAAAAGTTATATAAACCATCGATGTTGTTGTTGTTTTTTTTCTCTTTGTTGCTTGTTTGAAGGCAACCTCCAGATAGTTTCTGCGGGAACAGGTTTGAACAACATTCCTTAAACTAACTTAAAGCTATTCATCATTTGACCTGCTTCGATGAAAAAGTACAATAGGGGTTAGAGCATCTTATCTTCCACTTGGCAGTTGAAGCCTTGGCATTGGCGATTGGTTGCCTAAACAACCGAATGATCGAGTTTTCAGGTGGACGACGCACTGTAGAAAATTATGTATTGAGTACGAAAGGTGTAACCGATCTTTATTAATAATTTATTGTTGTTATCACTCGTCCAGAGAAATTTCAAAGAGGGAGCATTCAACCATTAACAGTACCAGTACCACGCGCCCTTCTGAGAAGCCGTTTTAGAAAAAAAAATAAAACCAGGGAGAATACAAATATTAACTTTTACTTGCAATGAACTTTCTAAAAAAGTCTCTATTAATCGCCTGAAAGCAGAAAGAAAACTAAATGTAAAAGATGACGAACTACGATAGATTGAAAGTTGTAATCCTTGGAAACTCCAGAGTTGGAAAATCAGGTAAGGCAATGTATTCACTAGAACATAAAACAACTTGTAGCAACTAGAATCGTTACAGTGTTTTTAATCTAAAGTACATTGTTGACAAGCGTTGAAAGGGTATTTATGATATAAGGGACGTTGTTGACAGTGTTAGTAGGATACTTATGATAATAGTTGAAGACTTCTGATGTTGGTAGGCCGTTTTAAACATACAGGAGATTGATTAATTCAAAAGTACAATAACAGAAACTTTTACATTAAGAAAATTCTGATTTTAATTATTACAATGTGTCAACATTGAAAATTCAGACTGCTTTATTGAATGTAACTGTTGTTTAATACTCATAACATAGGTAAATTAATATGTAGAATTATACACGAAATTTTCTCTACGTTAAAATGCTTTTATTTGTGAGCTTTCGGCCCTCTTACCGGAGCCTTCATCGGGCAACAATGTACAATTGTTGCCCGATAAAATTAACTGTTAACTGATGATGCCTTGTTGTTAATATGGCGTCGAAACGTTGTAATAAGTTAAATCAGAATTTCTCTACTGTAAAGTTGTTCTTACTGTATTTATATTTTGAGTTAAATTTCATCATCAAACATTCAAAAAGAAGATTACTTGTGCTAGTATTGTTAGAATACCTAAACATAAAACGCAATACAATGTATGGACGCTGCCATTACTACGATACATACAATATACTGAATATTTACATAAGTTCGTGTTACTGTAATGCCTAAAATAATTTTTTTTTCGTACTCTAACAGTTCGATCATATCTAGAAAGCGATTTATTTTTACGCGAGATAGTTACAAAGTTACTTAAAATAACACATTGCACAAGCTAGCGTTGCTATGATGTTTAGAATACAATCAACGTTCATAAACCACTAGCTAATATGCAGTATTTTACTATAGTAAACTAGAAATTCCATGAATGCGATGTTAGAACTTATAGTTGAACGTCAACTAAGAACATACGAATGTTTTGAAATGTGTTTAGGTTGACGTGTAATAACTGAACAATGCCAATTATTCATTGTTGAGTCTAACATTGGGGATATGTGCTTTAAATTCTGATATGGAAGATTACTGCTGTAAGGTGATAAATTAATTCCACAGACCTTTGATATACAAACTTTGCAGGACTTTGAAACGTGCCAGTTTTTTCGCATAAAAACTGTTATGCTGACCAACATAGTTGCATTTTGATACAATCAGTGAGCTGCTGAAAGGCATCCATAAGTTAATGAAAACTAGGATTACTTAAATGCTTCGTAGAAATACTTAGTTTTTTGTGTCCACAACTGTGTAACTTTTTACTTGCAAGTTATATTTTTAGTAATATACTTTTATTATCAAAGAACAGATTTACGTTCTCCTTCTAAAATATGAAATTCTTTGGCATGATTTTTTTCTAGGAGTACTGTTGCGCAAAAGCATTTTATATGTGATATGTTTGTTTTTTTATCACCATTTTTTTTACCAAATGCAATCTGTCACACCTGTCTTCTGGTTCTATAATTTGTATTTCTGCGCTGAGTTAAAATATCACTTCTGGGATATATTAGGCTACGTAATGTATTTCCAGCATGTTAGTTAACTGATAGATATACCAACTTTATACAAGCATGTTTATGTGTTTAGTACTTTTCAACCTGACTGGCCCCATGTGCGAAACATGGCCGGGTTAAGCGGGCAAATTAGAGACTTCCAGACTTGGGCTTAGTCGTAGCTAATTTACAACTGCTAACCAAACGAAGGTCAATCAGTCAGCAGCATTCGGATCCTACGCTGACTCGTAACTGAATAGCAAGGTTAATTAAAGAGTAACATCCCCCCCCCCTTCACACACACACACACACAGCTGAAAGTGCGAAGTGTTGACCAGCACATCGCGAGTTCAACCTTAGACTTTTCAATACGCAACTTGGTATGCTAAGACGCACTAGACCAATCTTGGCCGTAAGCGAATTTAGATCAAAGAAAATGTTCGCATACCTTCCTTGAAGTCGAACTCAGCGAAATGTCTGATACAAGGCCATGTTTTTTGTTTTGTTTTTATAGACATTTCGTCTCGTTAGATGTTTTGTAAGCTCACAAAATAATCCAACGCATTGTATTACCGTGCATGTAATCAAGGTAATATCACATACCTTGCTGGAATAAAAAACTAAAATTGTCTTTAATACCTGTAATCTCTTCAGGTGTCGCCACTGTTTCCATGAAAATAGCTATGCACGAGTGAATTTACATATGACGTTTTCCTTGTGTATATAGATTTATAACATGAATGTATAATACAAATACTATAAAACTAAAAGATAAAGTTATCACGCAGTTCCAGACATTTAAACTTTCCGACGGAAACTTCACTGTTAATAAAAAATCAAGCAACTTTTAAAACTGATTCAGAATCAACAGAATTCTTGGTATAAAACTTAATTTAATCATGTACATGCTAGGACGATAGAAGTTCAGAGTAAGAAAAATAATTTGAAACCGATAATGTTAAGTCCAGTATTCAGTTAACATATTTAGTTTTTATTGCGCAAAAAAGTGAAACGAAACTTGTACTTTTATTTTTACAGGTTCTTTACAGTTGAAACTCACAAAGGCTGCAATTAAACTCTAAAAGGTGAAGCAAATAGTATATAAAAAATAGTTAAATAGTGATCATGCACAGAACAAGCGTAACCGAATATTTTATTACAAGTTACAGTTTTTGCAGTAAGTAAGATTAGTTATTACTCAGTGTAAAAGTTGTAAATTGTAATAAAATATACTTTATCAGTAAGTAAACTCAAAACGAAACTATTAGTAACCGAATATTGTTCAGCGAATTATTAAGTAAAGCTAATAGGAAATATCGAAGCAACAATTACTTCTGACGTTATTCAACATGAACAATATTGACTTGAACCATTCGAGATTGTTATTCTTCCTACTTTTAACCTGAATAACTTTTTCAACCCTGTACCTTCTATCATGTTAACTGGTTCTACCTTGTTCTTCCTTATTGTGCAACATCTCTAGGTGCTCCAGAAAAGTTCAACTCTATTCAACGTGGCTGCGGGCCAACGTAAAATACCCCCCCCCCTTTTGTTGCACTTTAATTGTAAATTGGTATTTGATTGCCGCACAGCCTCAACGTGTTCACCCGGATTTTCTGAAGTGAAGGGCAGAGAACAAGTGGATTTACTTTGGCGTAGCTTGCATTCTATTGTTGTCACGTGGTTTTGTTTTGGTGTTAACTACGCCAAATACTCGCGAGGGATCGTTTAAAGAATTAAAAGTCAAATCACAGAACTCATAAACGTGATTTTTTTCCATATTCACACCTAAAAGTGGGTATCTACTAACAACTATAAAACTCTGAATAATTCTAAAGGTTTATTATTTCCCAGATTTTACGCTTTGTCGTGTCCTTTATTTAATTTAAAGTAACAAAGATGACTCTTCTAGTTCAATCAATGTCGCATAACACTAAAGTAACGTTTACGAGAGCGTCTTAATGCTACCTTTAATGGACAAAGAGAAAATCACACCATAGAGTTTTATCTTTTTATAATTTACTAAAGCTATGCGAACGGTATGTGACGAAAAGACATTAAACTCAAAGTTTTTAAAATTGTGAAAATTTAAAATGCTGATTTTAATTATTTATTAAATTTTAAATAATACACAATTGCTGATCATTCATATTTATGAAACTATTATTAGTTTTTTTATTTATTTATACACATTTCTCAGTTTCAAGAAGTAAAACAAATATTATTTTTCATGTATTAAAGAATATTTCATAATAAGAATACCAAAGCGACTATTGGCTGCATTTTCAAGTCGGATTTTGGTCGGACAGCAAGGTCAGGAAAAGCTTAAGAAACTTATCCAGTACGCATGCCTTTTCTTACTATATGTGGGTCTCTAGTTCAGGGTCCGCTATTTTATTATAATCTGTATTTATAATCTTCCTGTAGCACATAAACTACTTTAAAGGTTTCATAAAACAAAACAATTTGAGATTATAATACAATATTAAAATACGATTGACATTGAATGTCATTCGGTGCCTTGTAACTCCTTACAAGATGCTGGTAGAAAACACGAAAGCCTTTATTATCAAATTTTGTTAGTTCACCAAACTTTATTGATAAATTCAACTTTCTAGGTTTATTTGAAAAGTAAACATTTGAAATACGTGACGAATCTCAAAGCTTAAAAAATATCCTTGTATCTATCTACTAAAGCAAAGTGTGTACAGTTTCATAAGCCTTGGATTTAAGAAAATTATTCACTTCTGCATATAGTTTGTTACAACATTAACGACAAATTTTTGTTTCTGGTTAATATCTGGAAAATGTAATGTCTCACCCTTCATCCATATAAAGGTATTATGAAAAACATTTAGTATTTTTTAATCACTTCATTGTGTTTCTCAGAATGCAGACGAAAGAACTAATGAATAAATTAGGTTTATCAAATTAAATTATAATATGAATTGTTAACAATATTTGTACTTATTCTAATAAAATAGGACGGAGATCCCTTAGGTTTAGGTGAAAGCTGGAGGCGTGTTATGCGGCATCACAGCTCGAACCTTGGATCTGTATCCAGGCACATTAATCACTAGATCAAATATCTCCCTCCTCCTTCTCCCAAACAACTAGAAGTCTATTTTAAAATTCTATGCTACCCCTTTACACAGAGGGTTAGTCGCACGTTATAAAAACGACTTGCATACTCTCAATACACGGGCTAAGTAGTCAGATCAGAAATCCCAAGGTTCAGACAAAGTCGTCCCTAATTCAGAACTGTTGACCAGAGGGAGGGCAACAAAACAACAGATAATTCTACAATGCAATGCCACCAGATTAGGATTACGGCTGGAGATTATATGGTACAGCCCTTTCCAAGGAAGAATAATTGCATATCGAATTGCTAAATTATGTAGAGACAAAGTTTTTGTCAGAAGTTTCCTGAAATTACTCCTCAAACCAATAACGTAACAC